CCCTCCCGCCCCCCCCCCCATCCTCCTGGGTTCGGACTCTCGGTGGCCGAGCGCCCGGGGCTGCGATGGGCCATTTTTCTGGCGCCCAGCCGCCCGCCACACCCGGAGGATGGGGCCTCTCACCTGGTTTGTTTTGGTTTTTTTACTCTTACAATCCAAGTAATCCGTCATCATGGGTCCGTTCATACGCGCTCGCCTCCCGCAGCCGTTGCACCTCCCTGCCGTGCACCGATTGCCTCCCCCTCTCCCGCCCTCTCTCCCCTCCGCCGCCCCTCTTTCCGCCCGTCTCCTCCCTTCCCCACCCTGTCGGCCGACACCGAGGAGATGCTTGCTGTGATGTGTCGGTCTTGGTCGTCACCGCCGAGCCCGCGCCCTACCCCTCCTCCCCTCAGCGACGACTCCTTCCTGCCCTGCCCCCCCTTGGACGATTGTGCGCTATGATGTACACGGCTCTGTGACCCTCTTCACGCAGGACGCCCTCCCCTCCTCCTCCCCCCCCTGGTGTGGATGAACACCAGTGTCCTTCGCCCCGCATCCCGGCCCCCGGCCCGGCCTCCGGGGGTGTCCCCATTATTATGCGGGGGGAGGAGAGGGAGGCGCACCGTCCGCGGGGATGTGTGTCACACCTGCCCGCACGCCGTCGCCTTTCAATGTCCCTGGTGGCTGTGGCTTGTCGGATGCATCCTGAATCCGACGCTCTCGCTCGTGCATCTTCTGAGGGCTGGGGTCTCCCTATCACACGCCCGCCTCCTTGGTGTCGACCTCCAGACGCAGGGGGAGGCCTCCTCGCCGCGCTGCTTGCGCTTTCCCCTTTCCATGGCTGCCTCCGGCCGATACTGACTACTCGTCCTTCCCATCGAGCAGGTAGCTGCAAGCCCCGCGGTATCAATGCTGCTCGTCAGCTTCGCAACAACCGTCGCATCAACAAGTGGGCCGACAAGAAGTGGAAGAAGCACGCCCTCGGCACCATCTTCAAGCACTCTCCCTTCCAGGGTACCTCCCACGCTAAGGGTATCGTCATCGAGAAGATGTACGTCCGCCTTTCCGCCCCTTTTCACCCCTTACCCCTCGGAAACCCTTTCACCTCTCCAACCGCGCATCGTAGCGAGCGCGGGCGAGAGAGGAGAAGGGGATCGCCTGTTAGCGCGCCATGTCTCCTCCTGCCGCCCCCCCTTCGCCAAACCAGCGCGACCCTAACCTCATGTGTCTTCTCCCCCCCCTGTTCTTCCCTTTCCACAGCGGTGTCGAGTCCAAGCAGCCCAACTCTGCCATTCGTAAGTGTGCTCGTGTCCAGCTCATCAAGAACTCCAAGAAGGTCACCGCTTTCGTCCCCTATGATGGTACCATGAACTACATCGAGGAGAACGTGCGTATCCCACCCCTTCCTCCGCTTGCTGCTGCCGCGCGCGCGCGGCCCCCCTCCCAGGAGCACAGATGGCTTGCTGGATATCCCTTCCTGGAGGGGGTGGCCTCTCGGCCGGATGCCCGTCGCATATCCTCTCCCCGCGCGCGCCCTCCGCGATGCGAGAGACCCCCACACGGTCGACCGAGCCGCGCTCCCTCTGACATGTCCCCTCCTTTCCCCCTCTCTCCCCTTTCTCTCCCCCGCAGGATGAGGTCCTCATCGCCGGTTTCGGTCGTTCCGGTATGTCCGTTGGTGATCTGCCCGGTGTCCGCTTCAAGGTCGTCAAGGTCGCCGGTGTCTCCCTCTGGTCCCTGTTCACCGAGAAGCGTGAGAAGCCCCGTGCTTAAATGCCCGCGTGTGTCGTCGTGCCCCGTGTACTACTACTATCACCCTCTCACACACATTTCCCTCTTGTGTTGATATAAACCCGAGGCAGCTCCGCTTTTTTTGTGTGGTGCCTCCTCCCTGTGCGCGCCTCCCTCCCTCTCTCGCTCTATCCCAGCTGTAACAGCATACATCCATGTGCTCCTCTCGATTGTTCTCTTCCCCTCGCCTGCTGGGTGTCCGTGTGTGTGTGTGTGTGTGTGTTCTTCCGGGGGGGGGGGATGGCGTGGTGTGTGGGGCGTCTGTTGATTCGTAGAGGGGCGAGGCGGCCAGAAGAGGGGCCGGGAGGGGGGGCGCCTTTCGCGCGCCTTCCGGTCACCCTGAAGCACAGGAGTCCGGGTGAACAGTGTGGGAGGGGGGGGGGTTTGTGGGCAGCAGAGACGGCAAAATGCCCCGAGGAGGAGGAGGCCCCTGGGGGATTAGGTCGTCCAGTACAGCATCGCCGCCGGGCGCTTCTTCCCCCCCTCCCGACGGAGAGTGATCTTCAGCTCGGGGGATACCTCAGTCCTCCGGCCTTGCCCACCCGACCGGAGGCAGGCCCCTATTCTTGGGTCAGAGTCCCGCGCCAACGCAGCGCATGTCGGGCGGAGGCAGCTCCGGGAAAGCGCTCACGGGCCACCGCCCAGACCTGGGCCCTCTTCCGGAGCCCGGGAAGGTGCAATGACTCAGGATGGCCTTCCTCGCCGGCCCCCGGCCGAACACCTCGGCCCCGTCGGTATAAAAGTCAAGCACTCCCAGACTGATCTGATCCATCTCAGATTCCCCGGCGTTGCGTTGGGACATGTCTTGGATTGGCACATATGTTGTTCCCCCACGCTCGCCGGCTCTCCAGAACGTCCTGCCCAACCCGAGAGCCGCCCTGGCACCCCCTCCCTTGCTGGTGGATGCCCCAATCCTGTTCTTTCGGTCGGGATCTCTCCCCCCCCCCCCCCCATCGCCGGTTCGTGTCCGAAATCCGCGCGCGCGGCAACGACGGAATGACCCCAGGAGACCCGGGTCCCCCTCCCTTCCCCGGCTGGAGCTGGAGGCACCTCCCAAAATCGGATATATTTCTTTTGACGTAGGATTGCGCCATGGGCTCACACATGGGTATCGGCATCCAAAGCAAGTCAGAGGCAGGGTCATGGATGGAGAGGGGGGGGGGGGGATGCGCTGCTTCTCGGCGCCCTCCCCCCCTCCCGGCCGGTCCCCAACACTATCTACTCTCTCTCAGTCGGACTCCTCCTCGGAGGAGGTGTCATCGCTGCCCGACGAGGAGGAGGCATCGCTCGCCGGACGGCTCTGGTCCAAATGCTCCACACCGAAGGTCTCCTCAATCTTGCGGACCAGCGGGCGAAGGCGATCAATCGGCAGGACAGCGAGCACACGCGAGTGCTGGATGAGCTGCTCCTCCACCGTCCACCGAGGGGTGGACTTGACCAGGTCGAAGGGGAAGGTCAGGCCGCCGGCCTGACGCACTGCCTCCAGGACAATCTCCTCCTCCTCATTGACGAAGAAATACTCCTCCGGGGGGTTCATGCTGCGCTTGGCGGCAGTTCCAGCACCAGGGCCGGCCGACTCATTCTCGCTGCCGGAGGACTCAGACGGATCGTCGAAGGGCAGCTGCTTGTAGCGCTTGAGCACAAAGACCAACCGGTCCACCGAGTAGGACGAGGTGTCCGGCGACCAGCGCCGCGCGGCCTCCACCTCATCGGCCAGCATGCGGAACATCGGCACGGCCGTCTGCGCCGGCATGTTGATCAGGCGCTCATTGACAACCAGGGCGGATTTCTGTGCCCCAGAGGGCGATGGAAATGGGATGTTAGCAAATGCAGGTGCGGGCCCCCCGTCCCTTCGCACGAAGTCATCTGGCCCAAAAAAAAACACCCCCGGAGAGGATGGGCAGAAACGTCCGGGCATGTACGCCAGGCCAACACCAGCTGCTACCCCCCCCCCCCCCGTCGCCCCCTCGCAGCAGGAAATACATACCCCATCGAAGAGCCTCTGCAAAGAGGCACGCTCAGACGCCCCGGGCGCCCGGCCAGCCAGGTAGTCCCGGAGCTGCGCCAAACAGGCGGGCTCCGTCGCGGCGACGCTACCACCCATCTGGCCCAGGTTCACCAGTGCCAAGCAGGCATAGGGCTCCGGGTTGCCATCCACGCGGATGCACGATCCAGTGGTCTCGGGATCGTCGCGGGCCACGGCGCAAATGTGCTCCGCCAGGCCAAAAAGGTCCACGCTGTCGCGCTCCAGGACCTGCGACAGCAAGTGGCGAATCGAGGCCGGGTCCGCATCCAACAGGTTGAAGAACTCGAAGTCCACCTGAACAATCTGCATCATTGCCACGAGCCAGGTTAGATCCCAGTGGGGCGGGTGGGGGGGGGGGTCGATGGTCAGCACTCCAACTCGCGGTCCAGGGCTGCGAGCTGGGAACAGCAGATTGTGTGGGTGCGTACCTCGCCGCGCACGGCCTCGGTCTCCTCCTCGTTGTTGTCGTCATAGACATACCCATCGTCGTCGTCGTCGTCGTCGTCGCTGTCATCACCCTCATCGTCGCTGTCGAAGTTCACGTCGGAGTCGAGCTCCCCATCGCCGCTGGACCCATCGTCAGGACTGCTGTCCTTGGCCTCATCGTCGCTGGGCGGATGCTGGACAATGTCGTTGCGCACCAGCGGCCGGGGGGCGAAAGTGCCACGCGGCTTCGGCATACGCAGTGCCGGGACCGGCTGAATCGGCTCGTCGTCTTCGTCAAAGGCCGGAGCTCCAGGAGCCAGGATGGCCTCAACCTCAGCGCGAGGGCGCTTCGGGGCCGGCGGGCCGGCCGGAGCCGAGGGGGCCGCCGCCGCCTGCTTTGAGCGCTGACGCAGGATCCCGGCCGCGGAATTGGTCGACAACTCAACCTCGTCCTCGGACTCGGAGTCGCTGCCAGCGGCAGAAGCAGCGTTCTTGGCCTCCTCAGCGGCGATGGCGCTCTGGGCAGTGGTCTCCTCGCGCGACCTCTTGTTGACGGCCATGGTCGGTGTGTATGTGTGTGTGTGTGTGTTTGTGCGTGTGCGCGTTGGGAAAGGTGGGGAGGGGGGGGGGGGGGGATCGGTGTCCGCGCTGGGGGGTGGTACTGAGCCGCCACTCGGCCAGAGGCAGGACGCCCTTGGGCACCTTTCAGCCATTCCTGGACCCATCAGCCGGATGATCGCCCATGTCTCGATCCCGCCAGAAGATGGCCCGCGGTCTGGCGCGCCCTGTGTGGCCTCCCCCCTGCGGGACCTGACAACCTGAGACTGGCAGCAGCGACGCCCACGAGGTGAGCCCCCCCCCCCCCCCCGGACGCACGAGGGCAACACCGGGGGGCAGCGGGAAGAATTCAATTTTCTCGGCCTCAGCCTGATTGCCTGGGCCTGGGCGGGGAGCGTGGGCAGTTCAGCGGGGGAAGGTCAAGATCGGTGTTGGGCGCGCGCCAGACGGTCGGATTCTGTAATTCATGAACGCGCGCTCCGGGAACAGCACCCCCTCCAGGACCGGACCGTGGGCTGCCCGCGCCGCTTCGTCCGGGGAGGATGTTTGTTTTTCCCTCGATTGCGGAGATCTGGCTGCACTCTCGACCCCGACTAAAGGGAGAACGCCCTCCCCCGGCTCCGATTAGCGGAGCAAACAATCCCCAGCTCATAATCCCCTCCCCACCCGCATCCACCACATTTCTCTCCCACTTCCTCCCCCCTGCCCTCCCCCATCATGTCCAAGATCCCCGACCCGGTGTTGATGGCACAGCTGCGAAGCAAGGCACGGATCTTGTATCGTGAGGTACGTCCTTCTCTCTCTCTCTCTCTCTCTCTCTCTCTCTCTCTTTCCCTGCTCTCTCCCTCCCCCCTGGCAAGATAATGCCCCATGCCTGACTGAGTTCCTATCCCTTCTCCAAGCTCTCTTTCATTGGTCAACATGATCCGCGTGGCTTCCGGGAGTTTTTCCACCCCCAGCTCCGGCAAAGCTTCGCCCAACGCGCACACCTGACCGACCCGAAGGATATTCAGCGGGAGCTGCGTAACGGGGAACGCATCAAGCGCGAGCTCCCGGTAGTCTACTCAGTCCTCAAATATCGAGCCCTGCGTCGAGCGTACGGCGACACGCGCGAGCTCCCTGCCGACCTCTCGGCCGAGGCCAGCCAGGTGTTGGAGGGAACCGGGGCAGGGATGCCTGCCCCGGCTACTGCGCCGGAGCCAGAGGCGAAGCAGTCATTCTCGCATGAAGAGAAGTAGCAATATCACATCCCAGTTGCCATCCGCCATCTCGGAATGGTTTCTCCCTATCTCTCTCTCTCTCTTTCTCTC